TTTCTCATCCTGGTAACTCTGAGGAAAGTATTGTTCATTGAAGAGAACTTCAAATTGTTCCTAAGTCATTCCCGCAACATCAATTTTCCTTCTCAATTGCTTCCACCAAGTACTTGCTTGACCTTCCATCTTATACACCGCGAATTCCACCCAATACTCCTCCGGTATTCCCACAGTGTTTAGGTGCTTCACAATGGAACCAAGCTAGTACTTCGCTTCTTGGGGTCGTCCCTCACTATTAAAGGTGGGGATATGCACGCCTAAACTCCCGGAAGTGACCCTGCTTCCTTTCCTCGGCCGGTCACTCATTCTGAGCTCGAGTGGCCATGCCTTGAAAAGTGACACACATGGCATCCATGAACTCCTGGTTCTATGGAGCCGGGTTGTTAACCGACCTACGACGCGGCGACATCTCCTTTATCTGACAAGAAACTAGAATATTCAGTGGATTCCTGATGTCACACATGTATGTACAATCCTGTAGATTCTTAACCTAGGGCTCTGATACCACTCTGTCACGCTCCGGAGCAGGGGTGGCGACGTGGAGCTAAGCGCACACTCAGTTAAAATAAAGGAAATTCCCAACAAGCCCCACACTCAGTTAAAATAAAGTATAGGATCTTTCCACAGGATCTCGTTGCCATACATACATGACATGTAAATAAATCATTACAGACATCATCAACAGTCTAGTAATTCAAAATTTAGAGTTTACAGATCCTTACATTTATTCAAGAGGATGAACACAATCCTCACTTGATCGATTAGTAGCAAATAATCCCGCTACTCCACACCGCTCCTAGATTCACTTGGGAGGGGTTTAATATATATAAAACAATAAAAACGTGAGCGAAAGGTCCAATAGGATATAATTTGAAACAACTTTATAAATAAATGAATAAATAAATGAGCGAGTAAATAAATAAATGGATGAATAAATAAAATAAGACATTCAGTCCCGACACAACAGTTGGAACCTCGCATCCTTTTTCTCAAAGGAAATACATATGAAAATATCCGTATTACAGGCATTAGCAAGTAATTTATACAAATTACTTACACAACCACGTGCACAAGCCATACCCCCGGGGTTTCGGGTCCTGCCCCTAAGGATGCACTCTTCACATCCTATCTAGGCCAGTAGCCAGCTTACCGATTCGTAAGATCTCTTACCTTAAGAAATCATTCATTAAACTTTATGAAATCGTTATTAATATCCCACAAACTACACAAGCCGTGGGCCCCATGAACTACAACAAGCCATGGGTTCCATGAACTACAACAAGCCACGGATTCTGAAAATTAAAACAAGCCACAGTTTTCAAAGATTTTTCTTTCACAAACAAGCCCCTTTCTTTAAAAAATCAGGCTCACAAGGAAAAAGGGATAGAAATCCCACCTCGTAAATATCAAACCTGTGGCTAGCAGTGCACTATTTTGGCTTCCGCTTCCTCAAGCCACTCAATCCGAGTCCTCACCTATCACTGATACAAGACAACACTTTAGGATTTAATTCTCATTCCTAAAGCAATCTAGTCTCGATTGTATCCTTTGCTGTTCTTTTAACAGTTTTGTGTCGGGACGTGTCGTACAATACTAGTTAATACATGATACAGTTGCACTTGAGAATTTGACGTTAGAGTCTGTTTCATTTTCCTAGAGCACTTTGATGGATGGAATCCATGTTTTTATTATCGATGTTTATCGATATGAAGATCGAGGTTAAAGTTGACTTTGAAGTTTTCAGAAAGTACTAATTTCCACCCGATAGTTATTGATTTGTTTCCATAAGTGCTCTTGACTCTTGTCAGTTTCAAATTCAAAATCAGTATTGACTTCAAAATTCTCATGAAGATTTCAGTTTTGAGATGATATTCGTTTTGGTTTCTGTGTAGTTGAATTCTCGATATTGGTCCCTTCCACTTTTCGACACGTCTAACGTGAGGGTTTTAGTTGATGGAGAGCGACGACTTGAAATTGAGCAGTTTTGATCATTAAAGTTTCCTTCCTCCTTGTTTGGTTCTTTCCGATTTGATCAATGCGCAAGTTTAGTCTTGCAATCTAGCTTTGTATACTATCTACTCATTTCAATTCACTGATGCATTCTTTTATCTCTTGAGAGTGTTTTGCTCAAGAGTGTTTACTTCATGGGTTCTTGTGTTGATGAGACATCGTTCTTTCTTCGATTGATGACGATGGTGGCTATAGACTCCGTCGAGAGATTGATGTTTATCTCTGATATTAATTATGTTGGACCTTGTTTGGAAGCGTAGTAGGTTATAACCCACTCCTCACTGTTTATGCACACTATGGTACAACAGGTACGCGGCCCATAAAAAGTAAAAGTTATAAAAACAAACGACATTAGAATGAATGAAAGAAAAGAAAATAAATGAAATATGAAATGAAAGAAAAGAAAGAAAATGATGTATGAAATGAAAGAAAAGAAAGCGTAATACGATGAATGCTATAAATGTTTAGAAAATGTGTTAGGATGTATGACATGAATGCATATATGAGTATGCATTATTGTTTACACTTATTATGGTCTGTTGTTACTTACTGAGCGAAAGCTCATTCTTTTGTTTGTGTTGTAGGAAGCTCGGGTAAGGCACCGACTCCTTGAAACTAATTTTTTGGGCGTGCAGAATAGGATGAAGCAGTGGGATGTGGGCAAATGGATAATGGATGCACCACATGTTTTGAAAACGCTGCTATTGTATAAAGTAAATAGTATTTATAGATGTAAGATTAAGTAAGTTATGTAATGAAAGTAAAGTATATGAGACAACGAGGCTACGCTTAGCAACCTCATGTCACAAAGTATGTTGATGTACCAAAATGCTATCATGCTAATGGCATGTGAACGACAGTGGTATGCAAATGGTAAGTCAAATGTATGACCACGCCTAGGAGTAGATTTTGAAGTTTTAAAAGAATTTTATTTGTAAATTATTCAATGTTAAGAAATTGAAAATGTCTTCGGAAAAGTATTTTTAATATTCAAGTTTTGCTATGAAATACTAATCGAAGTTTTATTTCGGCAAACTATATTAGTATTTATTTTACTATTAAAGTTGGAGAAAAAAAGTAACCTAAATTTTAGGAGTCTATGAATATAAATTTTACTTATTAAACCTCAGTTCATATAGTTTCTTGTGATGCTGAGGACAAGTAATAGGCATAGAGGGTGGTTGAATTGTAGTCCATTTGAACGTTTAATGTCAGATTTGATCACTCGTAATTCATCTTCAACCATTATCAACACATGTATTTGATGGAACCAAAAATTAGATGAATTTTACTTCTCTTTTCTCTCACTTCTATATTCGGCCACTATAGGAGAATAGAGAGCAAAAATTGTGTTCTCTAATTTTCTATTGCCTCCTATTTGTAGAATCCTAGGTGAACTCATTTATTTTATCTTAAAGTCAAAACAATAGATAATTGGTTATCACTTTATTTTAAATCACACTTAAAATATAGTTTCCCATTTAATTTGAGAAAAAACAAATTTCCCTTTCCTTATCTATAACGGCTGGCCACACCACAGGGGTATCTCCCTATGGTTGGCGTATTTATCAACTAGGAGGAGGAGATAATTTCTTCCTTTTATCTAGTTTCCAATTGTAACTAAAATTCAAATCTCTAAATTAAGTCAAACTTTAATTTCCTTTTGAATTTAATTAGAAAACTTGTCCAACAAGTAGATCGGATATCTTGGAGAGAAAGAGACTAAATCCCCGTGGGATTCACCCTGTGCTACATGCCCCTGCACTTCCATGTGCCTTAGCGTGTGGCCTCATGTGGTCCCACCACAGTGTGCTAATAACTAAGAGTCTGCTAATAACTATGACCATCGGTAGACTCAAATTTGAGTTCCTATTCTTAACAAAAATTATCAGAAAATCATAATGTGTCTGTGTGCTAGTTCTACAAATTCTCATTATGCCTAATACACTCATTCGATATCTCTCTATATTAATGATGCAGATAACACCGCTCTATTTTTTAATGGGTATAATGTGTATTAGTAATGTTTTAATTAAAGGGTCCATAACATTAATTAAGTTTATTATGAACATATTTCGATTATTACATAAATAATCATAGAATTTTCAATGATATTTATTAAGTATTCAACAATATATACACATAAATAATGAAAACAATTTTATTAATCAAATAATAAATATTCTTTTTATATCTCACGCTGTGATGGCATTATTCATAACACATACAATGATAATATTGAAGTTATCAATTAAAATAAAATAGTGGGTGTAAAAAGAAAAATGAAGTGGTAAATAGTCAATAATATTATAAAAATAGTTAGGTGATTTTGGAAAAGTAGGGTGTGTCAAAAGAAAATTTAACCATTTGAAAAATATGTGGGATGTGTACTTAGGAGGGAGTGTGGAGAGTAAAAAATAGGGTGTGAATAGAACACTCTTTTAGTAAATAACCATTTTTGTGGTAAATTAATGACATACTGATTTATCACTAGTTGATTTAATGGTGTATCACTGATTGACTTTCTTATTTTATAATTGATTAACTAATATCAGTTTATCGATTTATTAGTGATAAACAATCAGTAAATTTTTGATAAACTGATTTATTTTAACAATAAATCATAGTGTATCACAGATTGATTACTGTAAAAAAAAAAAAAAAAAAAAAAAAATTTTTTTAAAAAAAAAAAAAGTTTGGCCATTTTTTAAAAAAAAAAAAAAAAAAAAAAAAAAACCTTCGGCAAAATATGGCTAAATCGCCATCCACCCAAATTTTCAAGTACATCTCTTTTTGCCGTGAAATCTGCCTCGTCTGGCGTTGTTATCCTTCAATATGGTCACGCCAAGAAAGTTTGTACCATGTTGGAGAGAGACACAGAGAGAGAAAGAGAAGTGGGCGGTGGATATTTGCATAAACAAAGAGAGAGAAAAGAGGAAAGAGGAGGAAGCAAGTGATAAGAAAGACGGACATCATGAAAGGGAGTACTGAGTTAAGGGGAAATACAGTTCGCCCCTTATGCCAATACAAAAGAGTTGTAATAGTTCAGGATTAGCCAAGCAAAAATTATGTACTTATTCCAAATATTCAGGTCTTGAGTTAAAAGGGAGAAACAAAATCACAACACTTATGTATACTCGCGTTCGAAATCTAGTTTCCATCAACTCTTGTCAGCTATAGATTTCTCTGTACTCTTCATAAAATATTTCTTGAAGCACTCATCACCTTTACAGTATGTGCACACAAATTTGTACACCTCAATCAAGAGCAGTGGGAATCGAGTTGTAAAATAGTTATCAAATCCTTCATATGACGTTCCAACAAGTTTCTAAAATAGCCATCAACAAACAAAGTGAATGTTAGCCTTGAAAAAGTGAAATGTATCTAAAGATGTATCAAATTCGTATCCTAAATATTATATTCACCTGAATATCTTCCGGGAGTGGTTGACTAACAATGTTTTGAATCAGTCGCAACAAGTCTCGAATGCTGCTAAACTTGTAACCCCCTTCTGCATATGGGAGAAAGTGCCTGATTATCTTCTCATCCACCTTCTTGTTCCATTTCAGAACATTTATCAAAACTATCCTTTCTGTACCTAAAATCGTGCTTGCAGTAGATTCGAGAGCTTTATCAAGATCAGCGCCCTTTATTACTCTGTCACTAGTGTCGCAGAGGAAAGAAAGTCTATTCTTCGCATCCCAAAACAGTGGATGGTGCAACACCTCAATTACTTTTGGCCTGCAAAGAATAGCAAGCACTAATTTTTCATTCCAAGTAAAAGTTTTGAACCTACTCCAATGTCTTTCAATCCACTCGATACGATGGCAAGGCTTTGTCGCAACATGATATAATTTAAATATACTAAACACGTATAAACTGAGCTGCTAACAGATTAATAATGTGGTTAATTAGTTTCGAAAGGCTATTACCATTTCAAAACAAAAAAGGGGTATCGTGTACCTCTTTTAAGCTTTTTAATAAAAATGGTGTAACGTATGTAAAGTATTAATAATGTAGGTTCCATATTTAAGGAAACTATACAATCTTACCTCTTCTCAGGATCGAAGTTTATTAAAGAAGAAATAAGATCAGAAGCTTCAGGGAAATCTTTTACCAAAGACAAGTCTGGCTGATTATTCTTCCGAATATTTCCATCACGTTTATCATGGTCCCCAAATGGATGGCAACCATGAGTGATGCAAAAAAAGAGGACGCATCCTAAACTAAACAAATCTATTGAACTCGTTTGATGTTGTCCATCAAGAAGTTGTTCAGGTGCTTTCCAGCCGGTGGTACCAAAACCTATAGTTAATTCCAAAAAACATGCATGAGACTAAAATTGGAGGGAGTGAAAAGCAGTTGTAATTAGTTTAAGAAAATTTATTTTTGGGTGTAGGTTGTGAACAAATGTTTTAAACTAGACTAACATATTCATGGTTTAAACGGTATTAAAGTACATTCTGATGGGAGTAATAAAGTACTAGTTAATATTAAAAAAAAAAAAAAAACTCGATTACTTATATACCTCAACTAACGTGGGAACCCTTATTTTCTTGTTGATTTAGACATAAGGTTTGCTTAGTCAAGACCTAAATGATAGAATTAGCTTGATCAACTAGTGTGACAAACATATATGCATAAGTAGAATTTTTAAATTAATAGGGAAATGAGATTTCTTGCCAAGATAATGGTTACTTAAAGGAGAACTTACCAGAAAGGTGTTTGCTGATGCCCATATCAGAAAGCTTTGCACATAAAGTTGAGCTTTCCTTAATTATTAAAATGTTTTGTGGCTTTAAGTCTCGGTGAACTATATTCAATTTGTGCAGAGCAAAAAGCCCAGAAACAATGTCACTGTAAGATCATAAAATTGAACATTTACATAAGATCAGGCGATCAATTAGTATGATAAATCAGATCCAAAAACAAAGGACCTAAAAGATGTTTCATTCAAAATTCCAATTGAGTACCCATAATTGTCTTCAATTATTCATAATACGATTTGAAGTTCTTGGTGATGAGTAAAGGAACTTTTTAACTAACCTCATCAATTTCAGTAATAAAGGTGATGGACGGTCTATATTTCCTTCCCAAAGCTTAACATCTCTTAAAACATTCTTCAGTTTCTCCAAGTATATTGAAATGGACTCATTTTGATTGGAATACGTAGAATACAGTCGGATGAGGTCATATAAATTGCAATCACAGCGCTCCAGAGCTAGATAAATAAAATTTCTGTCATTTTCGTTTCCATGATATCTTACAATATTCGGGCCATGATCAGATGCTACAAGATTCTTGATTTCTGGGGCAATCAACGTAGCATGACTTTGGAGAATGCGTTTCACAGCGACTGGTCTACCATCATAAGTCCCCTCATAGACAACAGTCCCGTCAATACCTTGACCAATTTCCTTTGAAAATAAAACCACTAATTTTTCGCCTATCTTCCGTTGATTCTTAGAGGATGTAACTTCTGAGCTAGAAGGAGTGCTTTCTTCTTTATGCTGACATAAAAGAATTCTCACATTTAAATATAAAAGTAGAAAAGTGATATCCTCCAGTTGAATGAAGATATAGATCAATTAAAATGTCGTTATATGAGAACCTTAGGGGGGATCACGTATAGTCTTTAGTACTCTAGTCTATGTTTTTTGAACGTTAATTAAATTGGATCAAAATCATGACAGATTGAAAAAATACGCAAAACTAGCCTCTAATACAGATTTAACAGTTAGAAGAACCCTAACATAATTACATAGCATGGCACCAAAATTCAAGAGCTTTATGTTTATGCCATCTATTCTGTACTCTCTATTTTTGTTGATTTTGATATTTTACAAGAATACTCTACAAATACAATAGCCAAAAATATTCGGTCATCCTTATTAAGGAGAAAAATAATCTAGTAGTATATCCAGGACATTTTCTGTTTTTTTTTTTCTTGTTTGAAAGATATTTTATGGTTTTTAGAGAGGCATAGATGTTAAATTTTTGTGATTGAGTGTTATAAATGTAAAGATGACATCTTTTAAGTGATATTTTTGTATTTCTCCCATTTCCTCATATGCTACCATAGAATTTTCATTAAAACGTAGATGAAATATATATCTTGACCTTTTTTTATACAAAAAGTTTGTATTTTTTCTTCTTTTATGAGAATAAATAACTTTTTTATTTTCCTCCTCAACACACAATTTTTGTCTTCATCGGTATGTCGTTTGGTCAGGAAAGAGTTTTTTAAAGAGTGTTGTTTACTTATATATAGATTTTTTTAAAATGTGTCCTTTATATATACTTTCATTTTTTTCTATTTATGATAAAATTACTTTTTTCTCAAATGTGTCCTTATTTAAACATCTTTTTGCCGCATCTATTATTCTTTTTTCATATCACCTCACATAAATTATGTTTCGTCTTAATCTTTTTTTTTATCCCTGAAATGTGGTCTACTTAAAAAGAATTTATTTTATTAAAATAAAATAATATAAATAATAATTCAGCAAAAAAATGTAAACTTTAGAGGATATTTTACATTCATGTATAAAATATATAACGAGTCGACTATGCATGTGTATAATACGTGCTTCTAAACTAATATATATATATATATATATATATATAAAGAGATCTAAGCGTGCTCTTAACTAATTTCTTCTCCCTCTAGAATTTGTCCTCAGACTGAAAATTGTTCTAACTCAAACTTTTTGAACTCTTTAAGCGTCTCAAATTTAATCCTCAATTAAAGTTCCATTAAGGTCAGATGGAAAGATACGATAACCATGTAATTTGACCTAAATGATAATCTCAGATATTATTGTATATTTTTGTTGTTTATACATTTTCTATTATATGCCTCTGTATGCTTCTTATTTTAAGATAACGAACACCAAACAAAACTATAAAATGCTTCTTTCTTTTCATTTGTTTTTTCCAATCTGCCTTTTTATGTTTTATTGTTGTGGGTGTGTGTAAGATTTTGTTTTTCATTTTATGCGTTACAGTTTGAGCTTAGTCAGTTTTAAAAATATGAAAATTATATTTTCTCTATAAAATGTAAATTAGAGTCGCTATAATTGTTTTCCCTTACATCTGAATTTTGAAGAGATTTTATTGTCAGAGGATCTGATACCTAAAAATAAGGGAATGCAAACTTCTTTTTCTCCCTCTCCGCCACTAGAAATCAAAAGCCTACAGGAAGTAATGACTACTTTCTATTTTGAATGTTTTGTGCCTTTTGGAATAAATCAGAGATATGCTATTTCAGCTAAATCCTATATGCTAATCATTCACTAAATCATATAATTAAATCTATTTATACATCAATGAAAACTGGAGATAACAGTTTTACCCGTGGTATAATTAAGTACCCGCAGGTACCCATTTCTAAAGGTGGGTATGCAGATATTTTATAGGAGTGGTGCAGGTATGGTTAAAACTAACCCCCGAGTTAGGGAGCAGTGGTGGGGGAAGTTACCCCACTCCCTTTTCCGGCCAAATTACATTTACCAATATGAGCTATATACATTGTAAAATATTTTAAGTTTAATGTGGAGGTTAAAAAAGGGATAACCTTAAAACAAGGAATATGTTTCTTAAAGTTGTAGGGCTTGTTCTTTTTGGAGTAAAACTCAAAAAAAGTTTGAATTTAAGTTTGAATTTTATTCAAGTTTATGTTCGTTTGTAAAATTTAAGTTTGAAATGCTAGAAAAAATCTACTCCACTTTCCATGCATCTCACATTACCTTGCAACAACAATACCGTTTGTGCGGCTATAAGAAATTTTCGGAGCTAATCTCAGCTCTTCTTGTGGTAGAGAAAAATAATGAATTGTTGATTAAAAATTAACATTCTCATCCCACTAGTTCAGAAACATTTTCCAAAATCAAAAGCTGCATTCTCTAAAAATTCGAGACGGGAAAAAATCATGGTCATGGACGTGATGGTGGCTGAGGCCGTGGTCAAGGACGTGGTAAAAATGGTTATTACAACCCTTCATAAAATGACGTGACCTAGAAGAAGCGTCATGTCAAAAGAAAAGGCGTTGATCCAAGTTGTTCTTAAAATCTAGAAAATTCCTTGTGTAGAATTCTTGTTTGGAGAAGAAGTCTTGTCCATCAGAGATTACTCTGAGACTACTATCATTGCAATCGTCAACAACTAACCGTGATCTCAACTGATAACAGTTTTACCCGCAGGTATAGGCATCTCTAAAGGAGTGGTGCAGGTATGGTTAAAACTAAACCCCCAAGTTAGGGCGGGACAGATGTTGGGGAAGCTACCCTACTCCCTTTTCCGGCCAAATTACATTACCAATATGAACTATATGCGTTGTAAAATATTTTAAGTTTAATGTGGTGGTTAAAAAAGGGAAACACTTTAAAACAAGGAAAATGTTTCTAAAAGTTCTAATGTCTTCGGTTTGAGATATGATGACGCTGCAACAATTGGTTTTTAACTGTGAAGGAATATATGGGCAGCGTATGGGACTATGGGAGACAAAAGGAGAGTATAGGAGCCCCATTTAAATTCCTAATTAATATGGGTATTACGTCTCTTAGAAAATTTTCCGAAAGTTCAATTATCCGGCGAGTGGGATTTACTTTCCGTCAGGTTGTAAGAAAATCGCTAATTACAGTTTTAGCATAAAAAAAAAAAAAAAAAAAAAAAAAAAAAAAAAACAGAAAAAGAAAATCGCTAATTACAGAGAAAAGAATATACATATAAAAAAAGCGTGAAGAGTATGCACAAACTTGAGATATTAGTCATTAAAGGCATAAGTTTGGATAAACAAAAATAGCTAAAGCATACAGAAGTAATTAGGTACCTGACTCTTGATTACGTCTTCAGCTGCTTTGAACTCCTTTTAGATAAAAGTAGAAGAAGAAGAAGAATAATAATAAAGAAAGAGAAGAAGAAGAAGAAAGAAAAAGAAGAAAACAACAAATTAAGGGCATCAATACTGGTTAAGAAAGGAGAACAATATATATATAAGAAGTGATAAAAAAAAA